CGAAGCCTTCGCAAAGAATTTTGGTTTAAAAGGTCCAATTTTTTCCCGGTTGCCATTGCAACAACTGTTCAAATTGATATTTATCATTTTCAACGATTATTCTCAGCATTTGTCACCACTATATAAATTGCATCAACTCATTACATTATATATTATATTTATTATCGAATAGCCTTAATTTTTAATATTGTATATATATAATGCTTTTCATATTTTCTTTGTCAATCACATTTGTCATGAGCCTCTGGCTCGGGAGATCTGGACAACTACTCCCTGTGTAATTGACTTTGAATAAATACTTACTATATAAATACGGAACAAAAGCCCTAAGGATGCTAAACAAAGAAAACCAACAGTCCATTGTTAAGATTTGAACCTAAGCTGGTTCCGATCTTATATCGACTCAGCAGTGTCTGGAGAGAACTCGTCGGTGAGTTGAGTAACGTACTGGTTTCAAATAAAATCATCTAAATGGTAAAAGGAAGATGTAAGGTTTCAAACCCAAATAGACTATTTCTCAGTCTCAAGCTTCAAACAAATGCATTTATCAGAATGACTATCTATCCATCAATATACCACGTTGTTATAGCCACTGCTGGTGAGGAAGGAAGGAAATGTTTGATGAGAGAAATTGAGCTGGGAAAACTTATCGGTGAAAACAATCAGCCAAACATTGTAAAGTTCATGGGCTGCGTTACAACTCAAAGTAAGTACTAAGTGTAAAGCATTTTTCTATGTATAAGTTAGTAAAAATACTACACTACTTCTTTATATGAGCTCCATAACCAGAATGGCCTGTTGATCGGACGAAGTTTGTGGTTTCTTTTCTTATTGTTTTGTTTTATTGTTTTGTTTTATTTGTTTCTTTGTGTGTGTGTCCGCGCGAGCGCGCGGTAGCGAGACTGTTCCTCTTCGAGAACATTTATCGATAGCCCGATCACGAAGATCCTGGACGCACGACCAGAGTATCTAATATCATTAATCTTGGTAACATTAGTCTCATGAAGGAAAATCCTTAAAATGAGTCCTCTTCCGAAGTTTTTAATAGATATTGTGCTCATGAGCCTTCACTTTTATTTCTTTAACGCCACTTCAAGCTGACCCAATTCTCATCATGGAATACATGCCATGCGGCGACCTACTTGGTTATCTGAGAAAATGCCGAGGAGTGAGGGATCGGTATTATCTTGGTGATTGTATGGCTCAAGATTTGACCAACCATGATCTTGTGATGTTTGCCAAACAAATCGCTGCCGGTATGGTGTTCCTTGGATCGAGAGGGGTAAGTGAAGTCCTTCATTGTTGTCATAAATCAATTCTAACTCCGAAAAATCTATCAGATCTTTAAACTGTTTTACATTAGCTTGGATGCTGACCAACATTTGTTGGTAAGTTTCACTTATATAAAGTCTGAGACCTTCTTTGGGCCATGGTACTTTTATTACAGTGAGCAGATCACTTCGGATGTCAAACTTATAGGACTGGTTATTCAAACAAAGTTTAGCAGTTGTTTAACAAAAATGTGATCTAAACTATCTTCATGTTAGCCGAACCTTTTTTGTGAGCCTTTTATTTTTATGATCGAAGCTGAGAAAGCCGAAAACTTACAGTCGAGGGACATTTATTCAAATAATAGAGAAAACCCGACGCCCATTGCTCGGGTAAAACCGTGGATGGGTTGGACCTCGTTTGAATAACTAAACCTTATTGATGAATGTGTGACCTGTACAAAAGGTATGTTTACTTCAATAAGGAAAAAGATTTGAGAGTCATTTTCATAATAGTTTGGTGAATGTGTGACCTTGTACAAAAGGTATGTTTACTTCAATAAGGAGAAAGATGTGAGAGTCATTTTCATAATAGTTTGGTTGAAACAGCTAAAATAGGATGCCTACTAAGGTAGGCATCCTATGAAAAATGGATGCAACGGTAAAATGGTGGGATACGCGCCAACCAAATTAGATATTGGTCTGTTGTGGGACACTCTGCTGCGCTAACAGGAACAGGGAAAAAAAAAAAGCAAGAACCGAGCCTTTTTTTCCAATTTTAAGAAAAAAAGCAAAAAAACGGAACACCCCTCGACATTCGTAACAAGAAACGAAGGTAATGAAAAGAGCAAATTGTTTTTCTGAGCGGTCTTCTGTTGGTTTACCATTTCTACATTTTATTTTACTGTCATAATCAACATTACTGTGATTCGTATGATGGACGATCAAATAGCGAAATCAACTATTGCTCAAATAGCGCTATCTACTGCGAGGATCGTCCATCATACGTATCAAATACCGCAGTTCAAAATATATGATTTTCATATATTTATTCTATCTCATTACTGTGATTATCATAATTATCATCATCATCATCACTACTGTTTGCCATTTTTCCCGAGAAGGTAAACGACTTAGTCCTGACATCCTTGAAGAACTATAATGGCCTGCCTATTTGTCCTCTTCTCTTCGCACATACTCAGACGTTTAACTCGCCGTTTTGTAATGAAATCAAATAATTTAGAAGCTTTCACGTCATGGATCTTTGTCTCCTGGTAGATCATCCATCGTGACCTTGCGGCCCGAAACATTCTCCTCGATAACAACTATGTTTGCAAAGTGACTGACTTTGGCATGGCATATCAAAGCTTTAAATATGGCCATGGAAATGCCAAAAAGGTAGGAAATGCTTTTTGTTGTTCTTTTTGTTGCTTTATTGTGGAGCTTTCCAGAAACAAGCTGTAAACGTCAGCATTTTCTCAGCATGAAATTAACTTAGCTAGACCACCAACACGGCTTTCATAGTTCACATTGACCTAAGAAAAAGGGAAAAAGACAAAGTAAAACGCTAAGTATCGGGGTGCATAAATTTCACTGAAGTTGTTAGAAGAAAGTCTCACGAAAGGAAGTATGTTTTCTATTTTCTAATAGGGCTGCTTGAAAGCTATTTTTAAAGAATGGCATATTTATTTTTGTTTTACATTTTTACATAATTTTATTACGTAGCTTCACATTTTGTAAAATATGACTTTGCCGAAGAAGGGAGATAATTTTTAAAGCAAAATGTAGATCTGGGGAAGCAGACATCTATTCTCGCCAAATGCTACAAATAGCTTTAGTCGTTACTATCGCAACTACTCGGTTGCCCCCTACAGTCCTCTCATTTTCTCTTGATTTGAGTTTCTTCTTTTCCTCCTTTGTCTCCGACTCATTCTGTTAGAGGCTGTATGCACTAATCCGAAAGAAGTTTCCTTTGGATAGTTTCTTTATTCTGCACTAATTCATGATTTTCATGCGAGCAAAACCTCCTGTATGCACCTTTCCCACTGCCTTCTTAATTGAGTCTTTCTCTTAATTTAATTATGCACTAGTTTTCTCCTAAGATCATCAGTTCTAATGCATCTCGCTGTTCAAGGACCCAAAATATTTATCTCTTTTGCTTTTCTCATTTTCGCTAGCCATTCCTCTCGTACTTGTTTCATCTTCTTGGCAAAAAAAATAGACAACTTTATTTTCTGAAACTGAATGAAGTGCATGAAGGACCAACTATTCTTTTGGTGTTCAACATTTCACGGTGTTTTTGTTTACACTACCACTCCTTTTTGTTTGCAAAATAACAGATACCCAGGTAGAATTAATATTGAAGAAAATAATAAAAAAAAAATGTAAAGCAGAAATAACAAAAAACAAACAAAAAACAAAGCAAAACAAATAACATTATGATAATGATAGTTTAAACAGAAGTTTTAATGTTTGTTTCCACAGGGATGTTTGCCAATCAAATGGACTGCACCAGAAATTCTGCTGGGAAATCTCGCTGGACTTTCCACTTTGAGTGATGTGTATGTATTGTGTATATTCTTCCCTCACCTCAACAAAATGATCACCCAATTTGATTTTTTTTTGTTATTACTTCACATCCAAAATTCGCTTGGCATTAACTGTGGAATATTTTTGATATATTCATCAGGTGGTCCTATGGAATCGTTCTGTATGAGATAGTTACCCTTGGTAAAGTTCAATAAGAATATTATTTTATAATAAAGATTTGTTTTTACTTTTTTTCCAGGCCTTTTATTCCTGAAATGGGCCTTAAACAAGATAATATAGATGGTTTACATCCTCTTGCCTTAAGTTAATTGAGTAATGTCCAAGTCTTGTAAGACTGATCAAGTAGTCTAACTTCTTTTGTAAAAATGAACCCTGATAATGAGTTCGGGTGGAATTGTATAACCTCCAGGCAAAACGTGAGACAATTTTCGTTTTTAGGACTATCCCGTGTTCAGTACAGATCATATGCTTTTTACACCTTTATTA